ACTCTTCTGCATTGGCAGACGATAGCGTGTGGGACAATTACATTCGAGTAAGTTGAACTTTTCGTTTACGAGCGTGTGAGGAAATAGAGCGGCGCTTCGATAGAATCGTGGACCACCCAAAGGGCATCATGGCCGATACCTTGCTCCGTCTCGTGCATGCTCAACATCGTATTCTCCACACGAACCACCAAACACCGAAATAAGCAGACAAGAAAGAACCCCAAATACATACACTTACATACATCATTGTCAGCTGTTCCTTTAGATGAACTACATTGAATTTACACTAATGGCGCCTGCTGACTTTGCAAATAGGTCTTCGACTGCGCTCTATTCTTCGATCGAACTTCATATTGTTTCGGATTTTTTTCTCATATATTGCTTTGTTTCTACTTCTCTTTGCTAAAACAGCTGAAACGCTGTCTGATAAATACGATTCAACATAACATTAAAGTTACCTATTTATTTATACAGGATGTTACGGCCTGGTTCAAACCAGGGAACTGTTTTTTTTCTTTTATCAAAGCTATTTAATAGCGTTTGTGTTTTATCTGTGAATTGGCACAAAATCAATTGGTCAAAGCCAATCAAGATCAATATACTGTGTATAAAACATCCATAGACATGTCGACCTTGCATGCTGTCGCGTTTGTTAGTAAAATAACACGGCCAACGATAGAAGTAAGCGTGCTTACTTCAACCACCGCTTCTGACAATCATCAATAGCATTGAAAGCGCGATCGTTATGTAAAATCATCGATCTTTAACTACAGCCCATTTATACTATAACAACAACAGCAACGAAGTGGCGTCTTAGACGTACATTACTCTAAACCTCTCCGTACTTCCTATCTGTTCTGTGTACAAGTTAATTTCCGTTGTAGTCACCAACATACTTGAACATACCCTGAAAGCTCATTACAGCGTCGCCGTATCTGCAGAGTCATGTCGCTCGCCCCCTAGCATACGAAGCATACGTCGTTCCTCCTTTCGTTGACCATTTCTCCGTATGGGAGCAAGATTTTGCTAAAGGAACGAAGTCGAAAAATGAAACGGGCGGGATGAAACGACAGGACATTCTTGTCC